TCTCCATTTATGCAAAACTGAGTTCCCTTTTCCCAAGGATGCTCCAAGCAAAATTTACTAAAAACAAGAGGCCCAATGGGCCTGAATCACTCACCTGGTTTTAATCTCACACTTGTAATCTTAAAAGTGGACTAAAATACAACTACAGACAGAATATCAGTGTTTGATTCATAAAAACTTATTAAAAGATTTAAACATATGACGCCTGTGACCTTGAATGTCGAACAAGGACATAAGGTTGAACAGAGTTTATAGTCTTCAAACCCAGCATGCTTCTAGCAAAATATCATTACCCTGGACCTTTCGGTTATACAGAACAATTCATCCAAGCATGTTACTGGCCAAATGTCATCACCCTAGGCCTTTTGGTTTTTCAGAAGAAGTTGTTGTAAGATTTTAACATATTTGACCCCTGTGACCTTGAATATTTGTCAATGTCATTCATTTTAACAAACTTGGAAGCCCTTCATCCCAGAATGTTACTGACCAAATATCATCAACCTTGGCCTTTTTCTTATTAAGAAGTCATTCAAAGGGTTTAAACATATTTGACCCCTGTGACCTTGAAATTAAGTCAAGGTCATTCATTTGAACAAACTTTATAGCCCTTCATCCCAGCATGTTACAGGCCAAATATCATCACCCTAGGCCTTTTAATTATTCAGAAGAACTTGTTTAAAGATTTTAACATATTTGACCCCTGAGACCTTGAATATTTGTCAAGGGCATTCATTTGAACAAACTTTATAGCCCTTAATCCCAGCATGTTACAGACCAAATATCATCACCCTAGGCTTCTTTGTTATTCAGAAGAAGTTGTTTAAAGATTTTTTAAGACAATTGACCCACAGGGCCAGATTATACGTGTGTATGTTTAGGTGTGTTGTGACCCGGATCAGTATAGCATATGTGTATTTCAGTCATTTGTAACGTGACCCTGTGATTTGTGACCTTGCATATGGGCGAAGGTCCTTCATCCCAGCATGTTACAGACCAAATATCATCACCCTAGGCCTCTTTGTTATTCAGAAGAAGTTGTTTAAAGATTTTTTAAGACAATTGACCCACAGGGTCACATTATACATGTGTATGTTTATGTGTGTTGTGACCCGTATCAGTATAGCATATGTGTATTTCAGACATTTGTAACGTGACCCTGTGATTGACCCCTGTGACCTTGAATATTTGTCAAGGTCATTCATTTGAACAAACTTTGTAGCCCTTCATCCCAGCATGCTTCTGGCCAATTATCATCACCCTAGGCCTCTTGGTTATTAAGAAGAAGTTGTTTAAAGTAAAATATTGACGCCAGACGGACGGACGGACGGCGCACCACGGCATAAGCTCACTTGGCCCTTCGGGCCAGGTGAGCTAAAAAGAAGAAAAGTTGACAGATGATGGATGGAAGGTTCATGGACGTCGCACCATGGCATATGCTCATTAGCCCTTTGGGCAGGTGAGATTATAAAATGCTGACACACTTTTACAGTGAAGAAAAGCATATAGAGAGTTGTTTACTTTTATCCCTGGGAAACAGAGAAACTATATCTATTAAGTGGAAACAACCAGAATACACAAGGGGGTGATGTGAGGTAGGCAGACAAAACTCAATCTAGATTTACCCGTTAATTTTCGCCATCTGCTCCAACTTTTCAGAAGTGTTGAGATTCAATCTACAATGGACAATATCAAAGTCATTGATTAATCACTACAAGTTAATAATTATCATACAGGGTTCAGCTTGTCCCAGATAATGATGTTATCCATCGCAACACTCTGTGTGTTTGCAATGTCGCTGTACAACCATCGCCAGACGCCATTTTTAAATAATGTTTTTTTAGTCACATTTCTGTATCCCAGAGATCAAATAAAAGGTCACACACTGATGCCATATGCAGGAAAATGTTGTGAGCAGACTGTGCTAAGGACCAAACTCAAAAACTGCATCCTTGAAAGTTGTCAGTATCTGTTTTGCTGTTTCATTAAGATATTTCATTGTTTTACAAATAACTTTAGTAAAGAAATTTGAAAACAAGAGGCCCAATGGACCTGCATCGCTCATCTGGTATTAGTCTCACACTTTTAACCCTAGAAAGGTTTTAAATAAATCTACAGGAAAAATATCAGTATTTATGACTATGAGCCATTCAAAAGGAGCGGTTAAAAGATTTAAAAACATTTGACAACTGTAACCTTGAAAGTCGAACAAGGTCATTACGTTGAACAAACTTTATAGCCCTTCATTTCATCTCGGCATGCAACTTACAAAATTTGTTTATTGTGTTATGTCATTTAAATGTTTATACACATTTGACTTAATGTGACCTTGAAAGGTGGTCAAGGTAATTCAAAGGAAACAAGAGGCCCAATGGGCCTGAATCGCTCACCTGGTATTAATCTCACAAATAATCTTTAAAGTGGACTAAAATACAGCTACAGGCAGAATATCAGTGTTTGACTCATAAGAACCTATTAAATGTTTAAACATATGACACCTGTGACCTTGAATGTCGAACGAGGACATAAGGTTGAACAGAGTTTATAGTCGTCCAAGCAAGCATGCTTCTGGCAAAATATCATTACCCGGGACCTTTTGGTTATACAGAACAAGTTATTCAAAGATTTAAACATATATTGACCACTGTGACCTTGCATATGGGCGAAGGTCATTCATTTGAAAAAACCTGGTAGTCCTTAATCCCAGCATGTTAATGGCCAAATATCATCACCCTTAGCCTTTTGCTTATTGAGAAGAGGTTGTTTATAAAGGTTTTAAAAATATTTGACCCCAGTGACCTTTAATATATGTCGAGGTCATTCGTTTGAATAAACTTAGTAGTCCTTCATCCTAGCATGCTACTGGCCAAACAGCATCATCCTAGGACTTTTGGTTATTGGAAAGATGTTGTTTAAAGGTTTTAAAAATATTTGACCATTGTGACCTTGAATAATTGTCAAGGTCATTCATTTTAACAAACTTGGTAGCGCTTCATCCCAGCATGCTACAGGCCAAATATTATAACCCTCAGCCTCTTGGTTATTGAGATTATTTGACCCCTGTGACCTTGGAAATGGGGGAAGGTCATTTGTTTGAACAAACTTGGTAGCCCTTCATCCCAGCATGCTAAAGGCCAAATATCATCACCCTAGGCCTCTTTGTTATTCAGAAGAAGTCGTTCAAAGATTTTAACATATTTGACCCCTGTGACCTTGGATATGAGCCAAGTTCATACATCTGAACATACTTGCTAGCCCTTCATCCCAGCATCTAACTGGGAAAATTTCATAACCCTAGGCCTCTTGGTAGTTCAGAAGAAGTTGTTTAAAGGTTTTAAACACATTTGACCCCTGCAACCTTAAAAATGGGCGAAGGTCATTTGTTTGAACAAACTTGGTAGCCCTCCATCCAAGCATGATACTGGCCAAATATCATCACCCTTAGCCTTTTAGTTACTGATGAGAAGTTGTTGAAAGGAACTTAACATATTTGACCCCTGTGACCTTGAAAATAGATGAAGCTCATTCGTTTGAACAAACTTGGTAGCCCTTCATCCCAGCATGTTACTGGCCAATTAACATTATCCTTTCCCTCTTGGGTATTCAGAAGAAGTTGTTTAAAGGTTTTAAACATATTTGACCCCTGTGACCTTGAAAATAGGTGACGGTCATTTGTTTGAAAAAACTTGGTAGCCCTTTATTTCAGCAGGTTACTGGCCAAATATCATCAACATAGGCCTTTTGGTTATCCAGAAGAAGTTGTTCAAAGATTTTAACATATTTGACCCATGTGACCTTGAAAATGGGTGAAGGTCATTTGTTTTAACACACTTGGTAGCTCTTCATCCCAGCATGTCACTGGCCAAATATCATCACCGTAGGCCTCTTGGTTCTTCAGAAGAAGTCTTTCAAAGATTTTAACATATTTGACCCCTGTGACCTTGAAAATGGATGAAGTTCATTCATTTTAACAAACTTGGTAGCCCTTGATTCCAGGATGCTACTGGCCAAATATCATCATCATAGGTCTTTTGGTTATTGAGAAGAAGTTGTTTAAAGATTTTTTAAGACAATTGACCCCTGTGACCTTGAAAATAGATGAAGGTCATCCATTTGAACAAACTCGGTAGCCCTCTATCTCAGCATGCTAATGGCCAAATATCATCATCCTGCGACTTTTGGTTATTCAGAAGAAGTTGTTTAAAGTTTTTAACATATTTGACCCCCGTGATCTTGAAAATAGGTGAAGGTCATTTAATTTTACAAACTTGGTAGCCCTTCATCCCAGTTTGCTTCTGACCAAATATCATCATCATAGGCTTTTTGGTTATTGCGAAGAAGTTGTTTGAAGTAACATATTGACGTCGGACGCCGGCCGGCCTGACAGACGGACGGACGGACGCCGCACCATGGCATAAGCTCACTTGGCCCTTTGGGCCAGGTGAGCTAATAAAAAGTGGCATTGTGTTCTTATAAATTATGTTTTCTCACCTAAATAGTATTCCCCATTTTACGTGGATAAGTAGATTTCCCATACTTATTTAGAGTACGTTGTAATCTATGTACCACATGTGTACCTACAGAACATTATCAGAGTTTATTGATTTTACGTTGTCTAGGTACACATCTTTTAACGGAAACACATTTGATAATACTTCAATTTTGTAAAATTGGTTGTTGGGTCCAAGGGCAATTTTGTTTTGTATGTGCTATTACCTATTGCCTATTTCAGTGAAACGGTAGGGAAGTTAAGGTCATTAATAGGAAATAATTAAAAGTGTCCCCCACTAAGTCACCATAAGACTTTGCTTTGGCAAAATACTGTGTGTAACAGTTCTGCATTAAATTGACGAACAGAAGAATGCAACGTGTGACGTTAATTCTATATGTGCAAGACGAGTTCAACGAAACGAGGTAAAGGGGATTTTCACTGCGATTTTTTGTACCTCACTAAATGCGTGTGTTAATCAGGTTTGTATTTTAAAAGTGTTAACAAACACATGTTCAATGGAAATTGACGCATACTTTAATATTCAGAAACACCCTGTCAAACGTGAATGCTCAAATGCAGAAAAATAAAAAGAAACATAATATTTAAGAGCCAATTTTTGACTTCTTCTCCGTTTTGTTTTTTTCTTAATTTTTTCTTAATTTGTTCGATAAAAAGATCAAATGATGATGCTGCAAACTAAACAATTATGAATGACTCCATTCCGAAGTGCTACAATTCCAATATGAATTGGAGATTATAATATTGGATTATCCTTCTGTTTATACAAAATTTAGTTCTCTTTGCCCAAGGATGCTCCAGGCCAATTTAGTCAACATCCATAAAGCTGTTCAGGACTATAGTAGCGTTTTTAAGGAAAAGTTGACGAACGACAGACCCTGCAGTATAGCATAAGCTCAGTAGGAACCAAGGGAAATCTACCTGTAGTACTTCTTGAAAAATAATGATAATCGGAAATCTTCAAGGACAGACAGGTGATCACAGACCAAAATGTGATTTGAACAGCCGACCATATGATGACAGTAGGCTAAAATTAAACATTTCGATTGTAAACAATTAAGTTTAGATATCAGAGAAAAAATTGCTGAAATATGGTTATTGAATACAATGTATTACCAAGAATAAATAACATCTTCTGAAGCTTGTTAAGAGAACAAATGATCATACGAATATCTAGCCAAATCTTTTTAGAAAACAAGAGGCCACTTCGGCCTAAATAGTTGAACTGATCTTTTATTTTCAAGTTTAAGTAAATAAATTATATTTACATAAAAAATAACCCCAATAAATAGAAACAAAGAAGCAAATACTTAGTAATGAAAGTCTTAACATATAGCCCCATTTGACAGAGCTCCTTTGTCTGTTTATCAAATTCAAACATTGGTTTAAACAATATTTATTTCATATATCATATATAATAAGTACGCAAGTAAATAGAAAAATTAATAGGATTTGGCAAAAAGATTTAAATCTTATATAAGCCATCTCACTTGAAAAAATTTAAACATTCACATTAATATCCAATATTTGGCCTATCCCCTTACTCCATGCGACAGACATCATCCTTCTCTTTATACATTTAATTATCCTGGTCCAAGAATGTTATATGCAAAATTAGGTCAAATTCCCTTCAGTCATATTTGAGGAATACTCTTTCAATAAGTAACACTTATTTGCCCATTTGGCCTTACCCCAACATTCCCAGAAGGGAGAGAACATACCCATAAATACTCTTGACCAAAGGATGCTCAATGCTAAATGAGGTCAAAATATCCCTTTACTCATGCTTAGAGAGAATTCATTTAAATTAAAATTAACCAACTATTTCTCCTTTTAGCTTTTAGGCCTTGCATCCCTGTCCTGAAGGGGGAGGGGTCACTTCGTCATTTTGGACTATTAGGCTAAAAGCCTAAAAGAAAAGTTGACAAATAGAAGACAGATTTCATGCACCAACATAAACGACCTGTTAAGCCAAAACTCAAGACATGGATATCAGATCGACAAAGATGACACATTCATTTGTAAAATTTCCATGTGAAACAAAAGGTAATATACAAAAGCAGTTTTGACCAATAGATTTTATATTAAAACAATAATTGTAATGATACAATGTAAAAGCAAACTAGAAATGTGTTCAGTCATGTTTTGCAGCAATTTAAAAAACTTATAAAACACGACACAAATTTGATAAGTTCTGTTTATGAAACAATCCCTTCATCACAAAGCAGTTATCTTTCTTTTGCTAAGATCACACACATACATACACTCAAAATAAATAAAATAACCCAAGGTCTCCTGCAAACCAGCACCTAAAACAAGACAATGGTTTTTGAGTCTGGTTTAACAGCCTGGCTAATAAGCCACATTCAACAGGCAAGTTAGTTAAGTTTATGTGGTTGGACATCAGGATTTGATATTGCAGGTGGTTGGAACATGAGCACTCTTTGGTTTGGTTGTAGGGAAGGTAGTTCATCTGAGGTCTGTAATATTCGCCTTGTCTCCAAATACCTGGACTAGCTGTTCCTCATATTGATCAATACTCCTCTTCATCAGGTCCATGCATGGCCCCAGTAGCCGCTCAAACGCCTGCACATCAAGCACTGTAGCCAAAAAACATATTTCAATATAACACAACCACATGTAATAATATGTAACCATATACAATCTAACAACATACAGCCTTACTCTATACAAGAGGTCAAATGGGCCTGCATCCCTCACCTGGTATTAATTTCACACTTGTAACCTTCAAAGTAAACTCAAATAAAACTAGTCAAAATATCAGTATTAATGACATTAAGTTATTCAAAAGAACCTGTTAAACAATTTAAAAACATTTGACCCCTGTGATCTTGAAAGTTGAACATTGAAGAAAAATGTATAGCCCTTCATCTTAGCATGCAATTTGCAAAATATCACAACCTTAGACCTTTTGTTTATTGAGATTAGGTCATTCAAAAATTTATATATATTTGACCAAATGTGACCTTGAAAGTGGGTAAAAGTCATTCAAATGATAAAGCTTGATAGCCCTTCGTCCAAACATGCTACCGGCCAAATATCAACATTCTGGGCCTTATCATTATTCAGAAGAGGTCCTTTAAAGATTTTAACGTATCTGACCCCTGTGACCTTGAATATGAGTGATGGTCATTCATTTAAACAAGAGGCCCATGGGCCTTAACGGTCACCTGATATATTACAGAGAGTTGATTTTTGTTTTTAACATGAACAGAAATACTATTCAAAGTGACAAACAAGAGGCCCAGAGGGCCTGTATCGCTCACCTGAATATGTTTAACATTATTGGTATGCAGTAGGTGCTGTAAATACATATGAAATTTCAGAAAGATCCATCCAGTACTTGAGATATAGCGAGAACAAACATCAAACAGAGCCCCACCCCTATGCAACCTAAGGGGGGTCATACCCACCAATTATACAAAATTGAGTCCCCTTGGTCCATTGACGCTCCAGACTAAATAAGGATAAAATCCCATAATCCCGATGGTCGAAGTAGGGTTTTAAAGGTTTTATCTCTATTTCTCCGATTGAGCCCCGCCCTTCTGCCCCCTGGGAGACCACACCCACTGCTTTTACAAAATTGTTTCCCCTTCACCCAAGGCTGCTTCATACCAAATTTGGACAAAATCCTGTCATTCCTACAGAAGAAGAAGGATTTTGAAGAATTTGCTATGTTTCTCCTATTGGGCCCCTCCCTTCTACACACAGGGGGGGCCACACTCGCTGTTTATACGAAATTGAGTCCCTTTTCCCTAAGGATGTTCCAGACTAAATTAGGAAAATATCCCTTAATCCCTATGGTGGGATTATAAAGGTTTTACCTATATTTCCCCTAATGGGCCCCGTCCCTCAGGTCCCAGAGGGATCCCCTTTTACCAAGGTTGCTCCACACCAAATATGGACCAATTCCTACAAAAGAAGGATTTTAAAGAATAATCTACTATGTTTCCCCTATTGGGCCCTGCCTCTCAGGCCCCTGGGGGGGCCAGACCCACGGTTTATACAAAATTGGTTCCCCTTTACCTAAGGATGCTTCAGACCAAATATGGACAAAATCCTGTCATTCCTATACAGAAGGAGAAGGATTTTAAAGAATTTGCTATATTTCCCCTATTGGGCCCCGCCCCTCAGCACTCAGGAGCCAGGACCACTGTTTATACAAAATTAGTTCCCCTTTACCAAAGGATGCTCCACACCAAATATGGACCAAATACTTTCATTCCTACAGAAGAAGAAGGATTTTAAAGAATAATTTGCTATGTTTCCCCTATTTGGCCCGGCCTCTCAGACCCCTGGGGGCCACACCAACGGTTTATACAAAATTCGTTCCCCTTCACCCAAGGATGCCTCAGACCAAATATGGATAAAATCCTTTCATTCCTACAGAAGAAGAAGGATGTTAAAGAATTTGCTATATTTCCCCTATTGGGCCCTGCCCCTCAAGCCCCCCAGGGGGCCACACCCATGGTTTATACAAAATTGGTTTCCCTTCACCCAAGGATACCTCAGACCAAATATGGAATAAATCCTTTCATTCCTACAGAAGAAGTATTTTAAAGAATTTGCTATATTTACCCTATTGGGCCTCGCTCCTCAGCCCCAAGGGGGCCAGACCCACAGTTTATACAAAATTTGTTCCCCTTTTCCAAAGGATGCTTCAGACCAAATATGGAACAAATTCTTTCATTCCTACAGAAGAAGGATTTTAAAGAATTTGCTATATTTCCCCTATTGGGCCTCGCCACTCAGCCCCCAGGGGGGCTAGACCCACCATTTATACAAAATTTGTTCCCCTTTCCTCAAGGATGCTTCTGACCAAATTTGGTCAAAATCTGCTCAGTCGTTCATGACTAGTAGAGTTTTAAAGGAAAAGTTGATGACGACGGACGCTGCGTTATGGCATAAGCTCACCATGGTCCTTCGGACCAGGTGAGCTTAAAACAATAAAACCACCTTATTCAATATCTAGCCTACAGATTTAAGACTAAAAATTATCTGAAACTAGCACCTCTGATTCTAAACAAGGAAAATGAAGAAATTTTAGCACAGACTCCTTTGGGCCCCACCCTACAGCCCTTAGGGGTAGGGATGGCAAAAAAATTATTAAACTATTAAAGTATTAAACTGTCAACTCAGGGTTATAATTCCAATCAAGTTATTAACATTTAATATTCATAGTATCATTTGCCATTATAAACCATAATAAATTTTGCCTCCCCCCCCACCCAATACTGATAATCCCTATATAAACTAAAGCAAAGTTTACCCCCTCCCCAGGGAAACGTGATACCCCAGGGTCATAAAATTCCCTAAGACCCTGCCATCTATAAAGAGTGTTTGATTCTACCATATCTTGGTCTTGAGGAGAAGACTTTTGAAATTTCAGTCAATTCAACCCTTTTTGGCACTACCCATCAGCCCCAGGGGGGTCAGTCAGGGCTGATATGTGCATAACATCAAAATGCTACCCAATACTGATAATGCTAACTTAAATTGAATTACTTGCAATGGAAATTAAACAAATGTTGGTCCAAAATGTGATTTCCCTACATAAACTATAGCAAAGTTTACCCCCTCCCCAGGGGTAAACGTGAGACCCCAGGGCCATGAAATTCACAATTTTGGTAAAGCAACTTAAGACCCTTCCATCTATATGTAGAGTATTTGATTCTACCATATTTTAGTCTTGAAAAGTAGATTTTTGAAATGTCAGTCAATTCGACCCTTTTTAGCCCCACCCATCAGCCCCGGGGAGTCAGTCAGGGCTGATATGTACATACCATCAAACTGCTACCCAATACTGATAATGCTAACCTAAATTGAATTACTTCCAAAGGAAATTAAACAAATGTTGGTCCAAAATGTGATTTCCCTATATAAACTATAAAGTTTACCCCCTCCCCAGGGGGAAACTTGAGACCCCAGGGTCATGAAATTCACAATTTTGGTAAAGCACCTTAAGACCCTTCCATCTATGAAGAGTATTTGATTCTACCATATCTGGGTCTTGAGAAGAAGTTTGAAATTTCAGCCAATTCAACCCTTTTTGGCCCCACCCATCAGCCCCGGGGGGTCAGTNGGGGGGGTTATATCTTCCATTCATAAATATTCAATTTCCTTTGCCTAAAGATTCTCTAGAACAAGTTTGGTTAGGTTAAAATCCCTTCAACGGTACAGAAGGAGAAGGATCTTTGATGTTTTCCTCTATTTCCCCTAATGGGCCCCACTCATCTGCCCCAAAGAAGGGGGTCCACACACCTCAGTTTAAACAAAATTGATTCTTTTGTCCCTAAGCATGCTTCAGACTGCATTTGGTTTAGATCCCTTCACTTGTATAGTAGGAGAAAAAATCCTCTATTTCCCCTATAGGGCCCCGCCCCTATGCCCCCAGAGGGCCCACACCCTCCGTTTATACAAACTTGAGGCTTCGTTGTCCAAAGATGCTCTAGAACAAATTTGGTAAAAATCCTTCTATTGGTTGAGAAGAAGATTTTTAAAGATTTACCTGTTTTCCCCCTATTTGGCCCCGCCCTTCTGCCCCCAGGGGGATCATACCCTCCGTTTATACAAAATTGAGAACCCTTTGGCCAATGATGCTCCAGACTAAATTTGGTCAAAATCCTCTGAGCCGTTCAGGACTAGTAGCGTTTTAAAGGGAAAAGTTGCCGGACGCCAGACACCGGATGACGGATGCTGCGGCATAGGATAAGCTCACTTGGCCCTTCGGGCCAGGTGAGCTAAAATTAAAATAGTTTGAGCATATGTCAACTGCTGTTTCCTGAATGGGCATTAAACTTTATATATTGGTATCAGAAGGGAGTGGTCACACCCTAAAATGAGGTCACTGACCTCAACTTGACTATTCTCATATAATACCTGCATTATATATCTCGGCCAGTTTCATGAATGGGCTTCAAACTTAGACATGTTGGGAGGGAGGGTGAAGCACACATTTTGAATTAAAACTAGCTTGAATATAATTTTAACTGATCAACACTATCTTGATAGTAACAGTTATTCATGAATAAAGGGTTTGTTATACAAGTAGCCAAAGACAGAGGGGCTAATGGTTCTGACCCCTATTCTATTTCTATATATATCCTGTATATCCTTTTGTTAGCTGTATGAACCAACAACAAGTATCCTATTAACTATTGAACCATGAAATGCAGTTACCATGATGAATTACAATCATTTTCCAACATGATAAATAAAATTTGTGACAGAAGCTTGTCAAAAGGACAATGCTTTGAAAAGGAGGCATACAAATGAACAAAGAGCAGTTTAAAATTGTTTAAACATTTATTGGAGCAAATGCATAAGTATTGCATGAAGCATAACCCTTTAAAGTCATAGATACATCATTTTTGATCAGTGAAAATGTTTGGGATACAGAAAGTATACCAAGTGCTCAGTGAACAAGAGCTGTCTGAGAACAGCATAAATTAAGCTCGCCTATGTATGCTATTATAATACTGCAACTATCAATAGAAACACATGCATAGTAAAACGTTGATATAGTGCCTGTCATTTTATTTGCCACCTCACTTACCACCAGGATATTTCATGGGCTGTT